CCCTAGTAGCTACCAGTTGATGTTAGGGGGTCAGAGGGAAGGGCCAGCTTAGGGAGTACTTCATGGTATGAGCCAGCCCAGGATGATGAAGGGCCCGTGGGAGAACTAAGGGAAATAGCTTGGACTGCTTAACCTGGAGAAAAGAAGGTTTAGGGAGGATGTGGTACTCTAGCTGCGTGCAAATATTTTAAGAGCTCTCCCCCACGTGGAAGAATTATTGGACTTTTCCAACTTGGCCCTAGGATCTCAGGGGCCCTGTAGGCAAACTCTCTCATTTCACAGATGGGGAAACCAAGGCAATGAAAGGGGGAACAATTTGCCCAAAGCCACATAGGAAGCACCCAAAGGTAGGATTTGAACTCAGTTCTTGCTTCCCTCTCAATTCCTTATGCCATGCTGCCTCCCAGTGGGTGGAAGTTGCAAGACTGGATGAACAACTGGGGTCAGCCCAAAGTAGAATGAGTTGTCTTGGGAGGTGTAGTGGATTCCCTCTCACTTGGAGGCCTTCAAATCTCTCCTCTGTGGTGTACTGCCCATATGACCTCGGGCAGGTCATTTTACCTCTGTCTGCCTCAGTTTCCTCATCCATAAAATGGGAATCCTAATATACACAGTAGCTACACTGACCACCCAGGGTGGTTGTGAGGATCAAATGAAATATTTGTAAATTGCTTTGCACAGTGCCTGGCATACAGTAGGCACTTAATAAATGCTTTTCCCCTCCCCCCCGGACATGCAGCATTTCAAGGAGGGAGCCTCACAGAGGAGCTGGAGGGCCATAGGACCCTCCCACCCATCACAGCCAACGGGGTTATGCCTCCAAATGGGAAGTGGTAGGTAGTATCTCAAGGATGGTAGGTTACATCACAGGTCTTTCAACATATATTCCCAGATGGGTCCTCTCTGTAGGGACCTGTGCCTGCTGCCAGGTGCTGTGCTGATAAGGCACAGTCCCTACCTTCAGGAAGCACACAACAGGGTGTGGTCCCTCTCCCGGCTCGAAGGTTGACCAAGGGCTTTCATCCTAATGACCCTGGGAAGGAAGGAGTGCAAGTGCTCACTTGGCCCTTATCTTACAGAAGAGGAAACTGAGGCCCACGTGACTTGTTTTTGGTCACACGGCTCCCTAAATAAAAGGATTTGTTTTGTAAAACTTGGATTGTCAAAAGGCTGCACCTGAGGACCTAGAAGGCCACGTGTGGCCCAGAGGCCACAGGTTCCCCACCCCTGCCACCAGACCCATCTTCAGACCCAGTGCTCTCTGAACCCTCCAACTCAAGAATAATGAACGTCTCCTACCTCTGTAGCCCCTCAAGGTCTACAGAGCACTTTCCTCATTGTCATTCCAACAGTGTGGAAGAGATGCCTAGTGTTTCAAGGAATTCCAGGAGAGAAGGAGGGAACCAGGGAAGGCTCCCTGCCTGAGCTGTTGAGAAGGCAGAGAAGGATTGCAGCAGATGGAGATGAGACTTGGGCTGAGGATGAAATTGGAGCTAGCTCGTTAGAGTATAAGCAGCCCCGGATTTGGGAGATCTGGGCTCGCTTTCTAGGGGTTGGGTTAGGGTTAAGTAAGGTCTCTTTCCTCTCTAGACCTAGGATATCATGACCCTTCTGAGGCTCAGTTTCCTCAACTGCAAAATTGGGGTGATGATTTTCGCACTACCTATCCCACAGGGCTATTGTGAGGAAAGTGCTTCAGGACTGCTTCAAGGTCTAGAATTATAATTATTCAGAGGGAGATCCTCTTCCAGGTGGGGTAGCAATCGGGGCAGGAGGATCATTTGGGCTGGAGTTGTTCAGCCTGCAGAGCTGCTGGGTTGAGGCCATTCTGGGGATAGGAAATGAGGTGCTTATAGGAATTGTTCTAGGGGAGCAAGGTGAGTAGTCTGGTGTGGGCTACAGTGGATGACAGCAGGAGATAAGAAAGGTAGACTGGGACCAGCTTTGAATGGCAAGCCAGGGTTTGAAGCTCATCCGGTCCTTCTCAAGCATCTCCTCACCATGCTGCCCTACACTTGCCATCACCTCCACCTTGGACTCAACCCTGGGTCCCCTAATTCTGATAGAACTTTTAACCTTATCTTGCCAGGTCCTAGCTGTCCAAGTTAGTAAGTCCTTAATACATTTTCTTTCTTTCTTTCTTTTTCTTTCTTCCTTCTTCCCTCTTCTCTTTTCATTCTTTTTCTCTTTCCTCCCTTTCTCCTTCCTCCCTCCTTTTCTCTCCTTCCTTCTTCCTTCCTCCCCTTCCACTATTCCCCTCCCTATAAAAAATGGAAAGCTATTGAATATTTCTGAACTTAGATCTATGCATCAGGAAGATTACTAAACAGGAAGATTGGAGAGATGGGTGATCACAGTAACAATAGCTCCTATTTCTATAAAGTTCTAAGATTTACAAAGCATTTTCCTTCCAGCAGTCTTAGAAGGGGACCATCAGGTCAATTTTATACTTGTCCTGAAGCACAGAGCTCATGTCAGAGTCTAAATTTGAATTCATATCTCCTGTGGTCTGGGTTCAGCCGCCTCTCCACAATATCACATTGCCTCTTAATGGTCCTAGTGAGGGGAGACCTAGCTAGAAATCCTGGTACCTTGTGCAAATCTCAAGACATGCCCAGGGCAAGCAGCAGGAAAGACCTTCAAAATGATTTTTTATGGATTGTTTTCTTCATCACTACCCTCCTCCTCAACCTAGCTAAATCACTCCTTGTTAACAAAGAAGAAAACAGTCAAGCACGGCTACCCACACATCAGCTGAATCTGATGGTATGTAATGTTCCACACCCACAGTCCCCCACTTTTGCAAAGGAGGGGTTGTTTTTCTAAACTGCTCCTGGGGTTCACTTGGCTCATTATGACCATATCATTCAGGGCTTTAAAAAATATTTTATTTACCTTCCTGTCAGCACTGTGCAGGTGTAATTTTCAAGCGAAGCTGGGCTCCAGCCTCTCTCACGCCAAGGACACCGTCTCTCAGCCTAGGACCTGAGTTCCTGATAGATTAATTGTAACCACTTCTACTCCAACCCAGAACTATGGCTCCCCAGCTGCCTCTCAACATCCTTCCTACCCATGGCTTTCTACCTCTTGCTCTGGAAACAATAATCGAAGCAACTGTACCCACTGGGGAAAGGATGACTTGCCAACCAATTGCTCCAAATCCTCCCTCCCTTCCTACCGCTTCCCCTAAAAGAAGAGAATTTTCTCAAGGGCAGAAACTAGAGTCTAGAAGGGACCTTCTGGCTTGGAATCCCTTTGTCTTAGGATTCTGTATCCTTCACTGCTTATATCCAACTTCCTCCATTTAACAGAGGAAGAAACTGAAAACGAGGGAGGGGAAATCATTTGCCCTAATACATACAGGTGGTAGCAGCTGGGTTTTGAACCAAGGTGCAATCACAGATGACCCTATGATGATGGTGCCATTAATAGACACAGGGAAGCTAGGAAGGAAGGCAGATTTATCACTCTCATTTTATAAAACCTAAGATTTTTCAAAATTATTTCCTAGGACTAGTGTATGTACACATACATACACACATATCATACGTGGATATATGAAGGGAAGGGAGCTGGCTACGGTCACCCAGCCAGTATCACAGCTGGGACCCAGGTTTCATGGGCTCCAAAACCAGTATTCTTACAGTACACCACACTCAGACACAGGTGACGTCCAGCCGGCTGAGCTTCTCAGGGGCGAGGACTAGAGCTTCTCTCCTGTTTCCTGCAGAGTCAGGCACAGGACTGGGCACATAGGAGACAACAGTAAGACTTAATAGTTGGTGGGAGAGCCACCTCTCCGGCTGAGGTCTAGGAAGAATCTAGTTTGTAGGCAGAGGGAAGGACAGAGTGACCCTTTTTTTATAAAGAACTCTGACAAGTCCAGAAGCCAGGTCTGGATTTCCTTTGGGAAATGGATGACCAGGGTGAGCTTTGTTCAAAGCCAGGCTTCCTGGTGATCTTTGCCTCACACGCCATCCTTTCCTGGGTGGGCCAGAGAGGATCTCTGCTGAGTAACGGCTCTCAGCTCCTAATCTCGAGGCCTGCCTTCTCTACGTAGGAGAGCCCCCCAGGGCCCACTTTCACCGGCTGAGGATGCCTCTCCCACAAAGCTCTTCCTGATCTCTCCCGCTCATAGGGAGAGTCCTCCTGGTGTCCAGTGCCCTTTGCAGCCCTCCTCAAACCCACAGCAGCCTCATTCTTCATTCCACTAAAGTTCTTTGAGGAGCTCTGTTGAAGTCCATTTTCTTGTCCAGTGCTTTGCGGTTTATGGAGGGGGTCTAAGGCCATGGAGGAGGGAAGAAGGGATGTGGCTCCTGGGGATTTTGATAAGCCTTTTTCAAGAAACCGATGCTTGTGAGAGTAAGGCAAATCAAGGGGAAGGGATTATTTGGGTAACAAATATATTCTTACTAAATTTAGAATAAAAATTTAAAGAAAATTCTATTAAAGATAGAGGGGTGGCTTCTGCTTAGACCATTCAATCTAGAGGAGGCCTCTTCCCATTTTACACATGAAGAAACACCCCCAAAGAGGAGAAAGGACTTTGTTCAAGGTCACATTTTATTAAGTGGACTAGAAACCAGATATTCTAAACTCACAACCCATGGCTCTAGAATTTCTACTACATTCCACCACCTCATTTCAATGAAAATTGAGCAAGGTAAGTGGGCCTGGGTTTGTCCAGAGGAGCCCCCAGGTGAGGAAAGGCCCCAGCTCAGCTCTAGCTGGTCCTGACCCTTCTTCCAGAGGAACTGGGGGTAGGGGTGGGGTGGGGGTGTAGCACAAGTTTAGCAAGGTACCCCTAACAGCAGGCAGATTCTGATTGTTCTGCCCTGGTTCAAACCAAATTCACAGCAGGACGATCCCCAATTGCCTCATTGCTTCCTGGATGAAAGCCCGCGCGGCTTCCCTCCCTTCCCTAGTACGACCAGCACACCAGCTCTGTGAATGCCTTGTCAACACCCCCACCCTGCCATTCCAGAAACCCAGACTCTGAGTTCTCTAAAAAGGAGCTTTATTCATTGCATTTCAATTCATGCAGTTTGAAGTCCATGCAGCGAAGGAGACGAGCACAATTATTCATTTGCTTCTTGAGGGGAGAAAATAGGGGGTGGGCAGGTGGAGGGAAGAAAGAGAAGGAGAGCCCCAGTTTCCCTGGGACAGAGGGGGTCCAGAAGAAATGAGACAGTGTGCCTGGAGGCAAGTTCATCTTTGAACACGAAAACTGTTCCTGCAGCTTCCAGAGGCGGATGCTTCGTTCTGGACAGGGGCAGGGGGAGAACCGGCCAACCGACCACCCAGTGACCTAGGGGAATGGGTGCATTAGCCAGAGGTGGCAAGTAAGGTTAAGGCAGCTGTTGTGAGAGCTACTCCCACACCTGGAGAGCTGCTTTTGGGAAGAAGGGGCATGAGGAGGACAGCCTTTTGTAGGCACACCTCAAGAAAATGTTATAAATATATTATTGAATATTTCCCATTTCAATCGCATTGGACATACAGCTCAACATACTGAAATATTGATTCCTTTATAAAACAACAAAACAAAAAAAGACAAAAAGGAAATGAAAAAATATTGCATCTTTCAGTTGGCGATTTCCTAGCCCACAGCATGGGCTATGTGCACCAGTGTCTTTGCCTGTGGGAGGCTCTGGGGGTGGTGGGACACTCAAGCCAGGCCACAGTGGCAGAAATGGAGTCTGTATGGCCCCGTGCGCTGGCTGTGCTGGGTGAGGCCCCAGCTGGGCTCAGTCACCCGTCACCTGAGGGGTCTGCCCGTCAGAGGCCTGGTTAGCCGACTGGATGAACATGGGCTGTGCGAGGTCCTGGCCTGCTGGCATGGTGACCTGCTGGATCTGGTACAGCTGCTGCAGGGAAGGGAAGGAAAGCAGAGACCCCAGAGGGATGTCAGTCTAGGTCAGAAGGCCCACTCCCAGAACACCACCCTCTCCCCTCCCACCTTAAGGCTTGGCGCCCCAATGGCTATCAGGCCAGGTCCCAGGGGCAGGCTCCTTGTGGATGACTTAGAGCTCGGCCTCCCTCTGAGCCCCTGAGAGGAGGGCTACAGCTCAGACTTCTTCCCTTTGCTGAGGAAGATGAGGCACAGAAGCACTCGGCCCATGGTCATGATGACGAAGTGGCACAGCTGGAACCCAACAGAAGCCCCCTCTGTACACACTGCTTGTGCATGGACCATTCTTCCCTTCCTCTTCTCCCCTGCCTTCCCAAGTCCAAATACAGGACCCACCATAGACCCTCGAAGAAGGGGGGAGAGGGGCAGGAAACATGGACAAGGGAAGACACTAATTCCCAGAGCTGAGGGCTACCTCTCTTTTCTACAAGCACCAAAGGCTCAACCTTGGAACCCAGCCATTGGTCCCATCTTGGGGAGCCTTCTGTAGTCGCAGTGCTTCTCCCATTTAGCTTCCTCAGGTGAGTCCAGGCCAGACAGTTAGGTCTGGAGCCCAGCCTGGGTGCAAAGGCACCGCACTGAAGAGTCAGCAGACCTGGCCCTTCAGGTCACAGCTGTGTGACTATGAGCAAGTCACTCGAACTTCCCGAGCCTCCGTTTTCTCATCCATAAAACGTGGGTAACAATCCCTGCATCCCCTCACAGGGCCTGTCATGACAAAAATATCTCATAACCCTCAGAGCACTAAAGAAACGGGGGTCACTCATAGCAAGTCCTTCTTCAATGACAGAAGTGTGGCTCCTGCTCACCTCTACCCTGGAAGCCACCACAACGGAAGCCTTTGTCCTCGACTCCGAGGCCAGTTGAGGGAGCCCTCTAACTGCCCAGCCAGCTGGCCTGGCCCCTTCCCTCTTCCCTGATGACTCCTTCGATGCTCCCCAGAGGGGAGAAGAGGGGACGGCCCAGCCTAGGGCTCCCCTCTCTGGCAGTCCCAGCTTGTCTGGGGCAGGCCAAAGTACCTCGCTCTTGGGTTAGGGAAGCATGACCCGGAGAGTGTGTATTTGCCCATGGGCACTTCAAACGCTCCAGGGATGCATGTGATTGGAGGGTCCGGGGTCTGCTCTGGGGCAGAAAGGCAAGGTCCTCCCTTCCCTTTTCAGGGCCTCAGTTTCCTCCTCTAAACAATGAGATAATGGAACCACATGATCTCTTAAGTCCTGCCAGCTATTACCCTGATATGTGTCTGGTTCTTAAAGATCCTCAGGGAACATTCTTCTTGTTTTAGCAATTTCTGTCCACCATTTGTTTCTAACAGAGGGAAAGGCCAGCTGCTGTAATCACTCCATTCCCCAGGCAGCTCTGAAGCTGCCTGTCCAGACTGATGGCTGCTTACCAAGGAACCTCCCACCCCTTCCCCTCTCCGAGACCATGGCCCTACCTGTCCGTCTGTGAACTGGCTGAACTGCTGCTGTCCTTGCTGGACCTCTGTCTGTGTAATCTGTGGGAAATAAAAGGGGGAAGGGTGTGCAAGTGAGCTGCAGGCAAAGACCTAGCCACGTGGGCCTTCCAATGGCCCACCCCCCCAACCTCAGACTCTGCGGGCCACATTACACAAGCACCACCCCAGGGTGGGCCTTCCCATCTCTGCAATGATCACCCCCACATCCTCCTCCAGCCCCCATGTGGTCTTAACAAACCAATGGGATAGTGGAGGACATGCCTTTCATAGGGGGTACGCTCAATGCTAGAGAAGGTAGGGGGCTAGCTCTCATGGCTATGGGTAAAGCTAAAGCAGGACTGCAGAATGAGGCAGTTGGGGAAGGGGACAGCGACGCTTCCTTCCTTAGAGGGTTGCTAACACAGACACAGACACAGACACAGAGACACTTTCCTCTCTGTCTGATTCCAGGGTAGTGATCAGAAAGGGCATGGCAGGCCAGCAGGTTGGCTAAGAGGGCTCTCAGCAAACCTAGAGCTGCTGTCTTCCCACAAGGGTCAGAGGAAAGCAGGGAGAACTACATGGAAGTGAGGGCGGTACTACTTATATAGACACACACAACCCTGCCCTTACCCATGGGCTAATGTTAATAAATCAGGGCGTGGGTTTAAGAGAAACAATTTGTGAACAGAATTTAAAAGCAAATTTATTGACGTGCACCTATGTGAGATGCTGTGACAAGTGGAGAATGGTTCTAGCCCATGAGGAGGCACGTGGTGTCCCATGGCTGCTACGACAGACAGAAGGTCCCACACTCTTTAGGTATAGATGGCCATGGACAAGCCACGTCCACTTTCTGGACCTCAGCCTCTCTATTTGTAAATGAGAAAGTGGGACCAGAAGATACTTGAAGTCCCTTCCTTCTCTGGTATTCTACGGCCCTAAGAAAACAGAATTTGCTAGTTGCTGTAAAGTGCTGACACTACCCAGGATCCCATGGGGGACTTGAATGGGTCAGTGTGGTAAACAGCCCCAACTCCAGCTCCTCCCAGACGTCTCTGCAGCCCACATACACGTGTTCAAACACTGTCCCCAATTTTCCTTCACTTTTGTTTCCTGCTCTCCAAAGTTCATACACACACACACACACACACACCCTTCCCAGAACACAATACCAGCTCTCTCAGAGAGGCTGACAAGCACACAGAAGCAGGACCAGGCATCTGAACAGTGAACTCAGGACATTGGGAGAACATGATATAAAGCTAAGCCTAGGGCCCTAGGTTTGGAGAAGGGCTCTTTAAACATCCCAGAGCTGTTCAGAACCTGGAAGCTTCATTTTTGGCTCCTTCCTTACATTTCCCCAAATGAGATCTTTGGAGACCTGCTCTAGAAACCTAAGCCTGTCACCACTGTCAATAGGACAGGTCCAATTCTTAAACGATTGCTGCTTTTTTTGGGTTCAAGGGAAAAGGATCCATTAACAATGTCCCCTTTCTCCCTCAAGCAATGGGCCCACAGCCCACAGCAGCCGCCTCCCTTCACTGTCACAGTCCATGGAAGCCATGTCCTTTCACTTGCTCCTCTCCTGCCCTGAGTGATAAACTCAAAGTCAATGGAAGCCGCCACTCTTCATGCCCTTGATTCTCCCCCTAGTCATGATGAGGTTCCTGTGACTCCATGAACAAGGGGTTTGGAAATCTCAAAACAAAGGAGAGGAGGAAAGAAGAACAGTTTCCTCAGTGGAGGGGTACCTGCTTACCATTAAGAGCAAAAACTAAATGGGAAGATTCAATCTGAGCAGGCTTACTAACTAATAGGTAAAGAAGGTTCTGAGACACAGGCTCCCCAGAGGTGCCACAACTGAGCTGCTAGGGCAGCCTGGCACAACTCTGCCAACCTGGGGCATGGACTCACGTCACTGGTCTGTGTCTCTCAGGCATCCTACGGACGCTCCCTCTGCCCATGGTTTGACTCCGACTCTACAGCTCCTGATGTTCTGTGAGTTCTAGGCTGCCCATGCTAACAATTACGAGAGTGGGGGCTATGAGAAGGCTGGGCTCTGTGGATCCCGGGCCTGAGTCATTCCAATTAGAAGGAGGCCTCCCCCAGGGAGCCCCTCTGGCCTCTGGTGGTGTCAGTACCAACCTGCTGTGCACTAGCCGCAAGAGTCTGGATCTGTCCCTGAACAACCTGGGTGCCTGATACAGGCTGTGCTAAGCGGATATACTGCAGCTGGCCGGCGTTTAACTGCACCTAGATGGGGCAGACAGACAAACAAACAGAGACAGACCTTGGTTAACCTGAAACATGTGAAGGTGATTATTTCTATAACTAGAGCCAAAGAAAACTCATCCCAGGAACATAGACAGTCTTTTCCTAGGAGGCAGAGCTGTCAAAGTAGGCAAAAGAACAGTGAGTGACTGGGCAAGGCAGGGAGGGTTTCACTGACTTTGGAAAAAATAAAGTGGCCCCAGCACAACTGCTATTCTTGTGATTTCAATGAAACTAGAGAATCTCCTAAGCTGCCAGAAACACTGCACAAGCTGGCTATCCTTTCCAAAGCAGAAGACCCACCACTACCATCAGCCTGAGTCCAGCGGCTTTCTCTCCTCCTCTCCTTTTCCTTTCTGCCCCAGCCCAAGGGGGGCTGAGGGTGAGGGCTGACCCATCTGATGCTGTGAAGAGCTCCAATGTCTGCCAGGGACCCAATCAAAGATGGCCATCGCCCTGCTAGGTAACCTTAGTGTTAACTACACCCATATCTCTCTAAACAGAAAGTGGGTGCTGTGGGCCAGAGGGACAGGGGTAATAGCAGCTGGAGGAGATGGTTTTTAGGGGCCTCAGACCTTCTAGGTTTGCCTAGGTCTACATTGCAAATGTCAGCGTGGGTGGGTGTGTGTGTGTGTGTGTGTGTGTGTGTGTGTGTGTGAGAGAGAGAGAGAGAGAGAGAGAGAGAGAGAGAGAGAGAGAGAGAGAGACGGGACAGGGGTGAATATAAAAACAACAACAACAACAATGAACTTTCACAGAACATTCATATTGGCCTAGGCAAGCAAAGATTTGAAAACTTGAGATTCACACATGCTTGTGATTCAGATTTTTTTAAAATACTAAGTGTGCAGCAATGAGATCCGAGTGTGTCCTACACCTAACTAACCTTCTTAATGCTCCAGTGAACCAAGAAGGCATCATGCCCTATAGGCTACAGATGAACGGAGGGCCAGAGAGGTCACAGAGTGAGAGGACACACTCTGACCCCAACTCTTACCTGAAGTTAATCCTAGAGCTCTAAACATTCGCCTACAAATAGAAACGAATGCACCCAGTAAGAGAAACACGTAACATAAGGCAGGCAACTTTAGAAAAGCAGTTGGGTTCCAACTGTGGTTCAGATTCAGCTTGCCTGTACTCCTGGGCTCTCCACTCACCTGCGCAGGGGAGGTTCCTAGGGATGTTATGTAAGAGCAGCTTTCCTAAATTCCCTATAGGATCTGACTCCCCTGCAGGGAATGTCACTTTTCCAAAGGTCTCCACATAATGCTGAGTTTCAGCAGGAAAAGTGCTGATGCGACACTGCTCTGCCCTCTGTGGGGTTAAATAAATAACAGGCTCTCCCCCAAGAAAGGGGAAGCTGTGAGCCCCAGATGAGGGAGGAAAGGGGAGGAGGGTGGTATGAAGAGCTGCAGAAGAAACCGGCAGCTTCTCTGAGCCTTCAGATCTGCAAAAAGCTATTTTAATGCCTCCACCAGAAGCCCTCCATGGGCTCACCAGCCTTTATTCATTTGGTCCAAAGACCAGAGAGAGCTAGACAGGAGCTACAGAGTCACTTTCATCCTAACTCTGTGACCAATGGCAGGAAACCTTAGGGGTTGAGAAGGAAGAGAGGCTTTCTGTGGGGCAGCAGCTTGACTTCGCTAAATCCTAGTCCAAAACCCAGCATGCTAGTATGACTAGGCAATGTTTCCTTCAATAATGGGGAAAGTGGGAGGAGGCTTAGCAAATCTCATCTGCTGCAACATAGCTGGTTAGGGTAGGGTCTCAGGATGAAAAGCCAATTAGAAAAGATAATAAGGTCATTGTCTAAAAGTCCCAGCATAGAGCTGGGAAGAGAGCTGGACAGACCTGGGGCAGGGTAGGGAAAAGAGGCAGAGAAACACACTGGCTGCCTGAAAAGATCTAAAGAGTGCCTTGGGTGGAGGACCTTTGTGACAGAAATGGGAGTAATGAGTATGGAGTGTCAGGGCCAACTTGATAAGAGGAAGAATTTCCAGAACCACTGGAGCTACCACAAAGTGGAATGAGGAGACTCCCCCCCACCCCCCACTCCGGCCCCATTGAAGGGCTTCAGGTAGATGGAAGGGGTCCTTGCTGGGGGATGCTTTAAGTCAGTCAGTCAATAGACATTCACTGAGCCCCCAATGTGCCAGGCATCATGCTAAGGGCTCCCACAGAAGGGATCCTGCTCAAGGAGGACACTAGATGCCCTGGTGTTCCTTCCAGCTCTGAGGTTCTGGGATTTATGATAAATGGGATCTAAGAAACTACTGGTGTTAACAAAGGTCCAACTGCAGACTCTGCAGGGCAGCTCCAAGTTTCTCCTTGGTTTCTGTTCTGAAGGCTCGTTTCAGTGAAACCACTGGCCCAAATCCCCTCATCTTCTCCACCAAAAGGCACGTTCCAGATCTTCAGGACACTTGCCTACATCCCCTTCAAGGCAAAGACTCCACTGATTACTCCAAAATGAAGCAACGTTCTCAGTTCTACAAGTGGGACGGCTCTCCTTCCTGCCTCATTTTCTCTGAAGCCTCCCCTTGGGCCCTGAATGTTGGCTGAGCATCCTAACCACCCTGCCTCAGTGGCAGTGTCTCGTGACCCCTACAGGGGGTAGGAAGAGCTCCACCAATACCATAGCCCAAAGGGCTCAAGTCTCCGAGTCTTTGAAGGGCTGTCATAGGAAAAAGGAATGAGACTGGTCCTGCTTCACCCGAGGGCAGGACTGGCAGCAATGGGCAAAAGTGGCAGAGATGCCTATTTTTGGAGTTGTACAACAGGGGAATGGGCTGCCTTGGGAGATGCGAGTTCCCCCAAGAATAAAGGTTTCTTGGTGGAGGATGCCTTCTGAGACCTGTTTCAATCCACCACCTCATCTTCCATAGGAGTCACTGCAAAGGTTCCAACTGCTAACACACCTATTCACACGTGCTTGTCCTTGCGCGTGACCAGGATAGGATCAACACTGATGTCGTATGCGTGCAGAGAGAATGGTGGCCATGCTCAGAATCCAGAGGCTCATCATGGTCCTCTCCGGTTCTCTCCCTTCCCCCTCCCTTGATTGTCATCAATCTCTGTACCCTCACATGATCACGAGGAACCAGAAAGGTAAGGATAATGCAATGTAAATGGGTTGAAATGAGCCACATTTCCTCCTGGACAAGCAAGGAATGGAAGGGCCCCTACAAGTCCCTTGATGCATGTAAGAGATGCTTTAGTAGTAAAGTGACCAATGTAACGAACTGTTAAGTCACAAGGTAACCAACCCAGAAGATGGAGAGGGGTGGGAGGAGAGGTAAAGGGAGAAAAGGGAGAGAGAAGGGGGAGTTGGGAAGGAAAAGTATGGAAGACAGGCAGAAGAGAGGGGAGATAAAGAAGAGAATAAGAGGAAAGAAAGAGAATAGGGAGAGGGGGAGAAAGGACAGGGGGAGGGCAGAATGGAAGGGAAAGAGCAGAGAGAGGACAAATCAAAAAGCCAATCCCACTCAGAAATAAGATACTCATGGCACAAGGGGAAAAAAAAATCAGTCCACACTGAAGGAATGGATCAGTTAAATGAAAGCCAAAAATACACTTTACTGCGGCTCCACTGGGAACTGACTCATGAATATGCAACCAGTGTATTTATGGCCTTCTACAGACACCTCTCCCTAAGCCGTCTAGAGGACTAATGCAGAGGGCCGGCTGTGCAGCCTCGGGCCATGGGCTGGCCACAGCCTCGGGCCATGGGCTGGCCACAGCCTCGGGCCATGTGGCCGTCTCCACAGCTCAGTGGCTGGGAGGCTGGTCCTCTCAAAGCCTCTGGGACACACAGGCTTACCGGAATTTGCTGGATTTCCCCCGTGTTGGTGATGATCTGTTGCATCACCTGCATGGTCTGTCCTGTGCTGCTCGGTGCCTGCTGCGTCTGGCCCTGCGGCTGGGCCTGGACGATCTGCACCTGCTGGCCTTCTCCAACCTGCATCGTCACTGGGGTGGTCTGGTGGCAAAGGACAGGAAAATAGCTGAACTGGGAGGCCAGCAAGATGGCCTAAAGGCTAATAACAACAGCAGGATAAACACTCTTTGCTCAACTGCATTTTTCCTGGCTGGTGTATTTGCCAGTAAGGGTCAAAAACAAAGAGTCAAAGCCTTAGGAGTCAGAGACAAAAAAGGAAGGTTAGCCTGATTCTTGCTTGGGTCAATCCAAGGGCTCCTGAACCCTAGGAAAAATCAACTCTTCTGTCACCTCGGAGCTACTAGCTAGCCTGCGCTGCTCCTCTCCAGGCCGGGCTAAACCTTTCAGACCCGCTCCTCGGGTGGGAGCCTAACATGAAACCGATGAACCAAGAGTCAGAAGATGCAGGATCTAGCCCATGGCTTTTTCCCCTTCAAAGCCGAGAAATCACAGGAAAGGCATTTCTCCTCTGGGACTTAGCTGCCCTACCTGTAAAAAGTGATACCTGCTTGAAGGCAGAGAAGATGATCTCCTAGGTCTATTCTAGCTCTCAAACATAGGATTCTGGAGCAGCTAGGTGGCACAGTGGATAGAGCCCTGGAGTCAAATCCAGCCTCAGACACTAGACACTTACTCACTGCGTGACCCTGGGCAAGTCACTTAATCCCATTGCCTAGTCAAAAAACCAAACAAACAAATGAATAAAAACGAACAAAAAACCCCACAGGATTCTAAGAAAGTCATTTTAGTCTCCAAATGTTTGCTGCCTTTCCTGTCCCAGCTTAGTGACCACCTGGGCAAAACGCAAGGGAAATTACTGATGCCACTGGACACATAAGACCTAGGGAAGTAAAGAAAGAGAGCAAAACTTAGGTTGAAAAGTGACTTTAATTTCAAACTATCAGCCAACATTTACTCGGCTGGGAGGATGACAAAGGGAAATAGTAATTTTTGAACCATAAATGTCTGCTGTTACCATCGTTACTATTACACTGTGCAGAGCTCTGGTCTCACAGGGTTCTTCAGTCTTTCTTTCATATTCAGATGGCCAAATCACATCAGGGTCCACCTCTGCCCAGGGCTGAGGAGAAGCTGCCGAGGCCACATCTTTGTTCAAACACTGAACATGGGGAAGAATCTATTGGATTTGCTGAATGAACAAATGGTAGTGCAGTGAAAATCAGCTGGATTTAGTTTGCTGAGCTCTAATGTCCTTCAGCAAGTCCTTTCCCATCTCTGGTTTATAAAACTAGGAGACTGGACTAAGTGCTCTCTTGGGCCCATTTCACTCTGACAATTTCAGATTCTATGAATGCAAGAGTAACTTCATCCAAGAGGATGAAAGAGTTGCTTTGGCTTGGAAAAGATTCCAAATCTTGCCCTTCCCTAAGTCCACCACATGTGCTTTCTCTAGCTTGGACATGTGGTAGGAGACAGGAGACCAGATCCCTGACCAGCCCCTCCCTGTGGATCTTCATGGGAGGGCAGATGACGTAAGACATGAACAGGAAAGAGCTTAAGAAGATCCTTTTCCTCCTCTGCAAAATGAGGGAGAAAGGGGCAGCTAGGTGGTGCAGTGGATAGAGCATGGGCCCTGGATTCAGGAAGACCTGAGTTCAAATCCGGCCTCAGATACTTGACACTTACTAGCTGTGTGACCCTGGGCAAGTCACTTAACCCCACTGCCTAGCCAAAAAACAAAACAAACAAATAAAATGAGGGAGAAGGAATAATGACTTCTAAAGCCCCTTCCAGCTCAAAGCATCTTTGCTCTACCTAAACAAGTGTTCAAGAATTTCTGATTTGGATTCACTCAAAACAGGGTGCTGACTGGACACAAACAGGGAATGTCAGCTTTAGAACTAGCAGGAACCCTAGAAATCACGAATGCCTCATTTTACAGGTAAAGAAACTACAAGTGGGAGAAGTTAACTGGCTTCCCTAAGGTGACCCAGGGCACTGTCCTCTGTACCATGCTAGCTTTCATGAAGCATTAGGAATTCTCAGATGAACACATGCGGTGCACTGGATGTCACAACCTAGTACCCTTGTTCCTGAGAGGAAGCACAGACTCTGAAGGCTGTAAGGTTAAGGATTTCAATAAGTGGGTCCATGACATTATTAATGGAAACTTAAGGTGTTGAGAATGTTAAGATGTCAAAAGAGAATCCAGACTAAGCACACTGAGATGATGATGATGATGATGATGATGATGACGATGACGATGACGACAACAACAAATAGTTCTTTACGGTATTAGTACTCTAGAGGCAGCACAGACTAGTGCACAGAGGACAAGCTTAGGAGACAAGAAGCCTGGGTTCCAGTCCTGCCTCTGAGACCCTGGGAGAGTGATTCAGTCACCACTAATTGTTCTAATTCTAGTGGCGCAGGAGGGAATCTGTCTACTGGCAGGAGGACTGTCCTTACCAGGAATTCCCTCCACCAATATTATCACAAGCCTTCACTCCCTCTGCAGGTCAGTGCTAACCTTAGATTCTTTAATCACCCACTCAGAAACAGAAGAAGGGCAGGGAAGTTCTAGAGCTTATAAAGATGGTATCTAGGGCTCTCCAGGCATAGGGAAAGTTCATTGCGATCATCTTCCATTAGATAAATGGCATCCAATTTTATTGTAGGAGAACAGAATTTGCTTTACTGAAATTTTAGGGTGGTAGACGTATAATGGGAAGGCCACTGGTCTTGGAGAACCAAGTTCAAACCCTATCTGTGACTGACTTGTCATGTGACCCTGGAAAAGTCATTCAGCTTCCCTGGGACTCAGTTTCTTCCTATGGAAAATGGGTAAGAAACACAATTTACATCACAGAAAAGTCACAGAAAGTACTTTGTAAACTTCAGAGTTCTACATAATGTGGGTTAATTATGATTTGCCTCTAAAATTCTATAGGAATATACTTATTTTGCTTATTAAGACCTACAGTTAAACTTCCACAATTCCAGAGGTGCTCAGATTTTGGGGGTGGGGGTGAAGAAGTAGAAACAGCACCAAGACAGTCTGGGGAGAGACACTTGACTGCCCTCTTGGTCTCAGCAGCCAATAAACTAAGCTGCTTAGCCAGAGGGGGCAAAGGCCATGGGCGATCTGTTGACCACTCACTGCCTAACTATTATCAGAGACAGTTTCTCCAGAAGCCTTGGGAGATATTTCTAAATCACTACAGGAAAATGAGATCTCATGTAAATTCTGCTACTGTGAATTAATATGTAGTATGTGCTGCTGCCTGGGTCAAACTGGCTATGGAAAAAGCTACTTGGGATGACTATCCATGATCAGCCTTTAGAAGAAAAGAACGGAGGTGAGTGTGGCCCCAACCACTGCAGCCTCAGGTTTTCACAGAGGGAACTGAGGCTTTCTGGGATAAAAAGGATCAGAGATCAAAATAAGTAAGTACAGAATGCCCCAAGAAACCCCTGCCTCCAGGAAGGAGAGTCCACCTTCTGGGAGCTGAGGCAGTTTCCTCTACCAGGCCTCAGGCTGCCAGGTGCCAGCTGACTGACACCAGTGGGGTTGGGCAATAGAGGGAAACTGGCACTGGGTGTCATTCCTTTCAAGGGTCTGAGGTTCAGGTCTGGAATGAAAGCTCCCATAGAGCACGCCTGATCCCCATTTAACTTTTTCTACACAGACAGCACAGCTCTATATGTGGGCCCCATAATATTTTCAGAAGCTCTGATTCCCTAGCCTAGCACCTTCATTTGACACACAGAAAAATGGAGGCTCCCCAGGCAAGGAGTTAGTGGCCAAGCTGGGACTGAAACTCAGTTAGGAAGACTCATCTTCTGCTCTTGTGTGATCCCATTTGGGGCACTATGCTTGGCTCTGGACGCCACACTAGGAGGGTCATTAAATCAACTGAGCCAAACCAGAGGAGGTCTCCAGAATTATGAGGGGGCAGGACAACTCCATAATAAGAATCAATTAAAGGAACTACAGATTTTGACCTGAAGGAAAGAAGACTGTGGTGGCACAGGGGAGCTGAACAGGTAGGGACTGGAAGCAGCCCATGGGATATGTGGAAGATGGATCAGACTAGTTTTGATTGGCCCCAGGAAGCAGAACCAGGAATAACGGGGGGAAAAGGCAGAGAGGCACATTGTGGCTCAGCCTAAGAAAACTTCCTATCACAACAAAAACAGGCTGCTTCAGGAGGCGTTGGTTTCTTCAGCTCTGGATGACCAGAGACATTCCAAGAGGGGATTCCTGCTCAGCAATAGGCTAGACTAAATGCCCTCTGAGGCCCCCTCCCACATCTGAGATTCAGTGTTTTCTGTGACTATTTTCTGTATCTGGGCAGCTAATCTTTCTTCTCTATTTCCCCTCCCCTCCCTACAACAACATAATAACTAATGATTTGTAAGTCCAGGGAAAAGGGTTTTTGCACAACCCAAACATGGCTGGCTCACTGACCTGGCCCTGCTGAGGCTGGGCAATGATGATCTGTCCTGACTGGATGGTGGTGGTGGAGGTGGTGGTCTGCTGGCCAGTCTGCTGGCCCTGGACCTGGACAGCCGCCGCGGGCTGCTGGGCCAACGTGAAGTAGTACTGGACAGGCTCTGCGGGAGTCACAGACTGGCGCACTTCCTCCTGTGGGGGTGGAAGCAGATCCAGGTAAGAGGGAAAAAATGACACACTCAGCAAACAGCAATTGCAAGAGCCAGAGCAGTGGCCGCCGCCTTGGTGAATTTCCACTCTTTACCCAATATGCTCGGCATATTCCCCTGTCTGATGCTGATCTCTCCACATCTAAAACCAAGGGAGAGTGGAATTGCAAGAGCCTGGCTATGCGAAATCAAACTAAAAATAACTGATTTCAAAGGCCCCACAAAACATCCAGCCAAATTTCTGAAGTACAGCATAATCACCCATTTCATAATGAGTTGCAAATAATTACTGCAGCTAAACCCCATGCACCAGGCAGACCTGTCAGTAAGCATCCTTGAGGCCTGTTATCTGATCGAAGTGCTAACTGGAAAGTGCTCATGAAGCACCGTGGCCTTGACGCCTCATCCTTTTCTCCCATACTACCCCTATCCAAAGAACAGTGTGGACTCAATCTGACGTAGCAAGAATGGCAAAGAGTCCCACTCATCTGGTGGGATTCGGCGACCCACTGCTTCAACACAGCAGCCTGCTCTCTGGGGTTATTTTTTCACTGAAGGCAATCACAACCCACATTTCTTTCCTGACTCCAGCAGAGGGGGCTTGCACAAGCAGGCACTTAATAAATGTTTACTAAATTGACTGTATTGAACCATGAAAGCACTGCCCAGGGACCTGCTGAATGGCTTTCCTTCCAGCCAGGGCCTGACCCACCCTTGCTGGTGTGCGGTACCTCTGGTTAGGCCCTTCTGCCCCCTCTCATGGGGAGGGCTGTCTTCTCATGAAGTTCATCTGGGGTTCTCCATGGCAGAAGGAGTAAACAACCCTCTCCCAGCCACCTTGAGCTCACAGCTGAGAGTGTAGGATGTTTACACACACTACAACATGGTTGTCTCTCGAAGAGTCCAGGACTGCCTTGCCACTGAGAAAACAAAAGGTAGCCCTGACCCCACCACCAACATTTCTGGGAAGGTGGGGCCCTGTGCTAAACCCTATAAAAACAACAATAAAAGCTTCACAGAGATACAGAAACCAAAGAATTATTACCTGAAATCTGTCAAATAAAGACATTACCTCATTAATTCACTAGCTTAATCTAGGCCAGGAATTCTTAACCTGGGGTCTGTGATTTAAGAAAAAAAAATCTGATAATTATATTGCAAATTAATTGGTTTCTTTTGCATTATTTCATGCATTTAAAAACATCATTCTGAAAATAGGTCCATAGGCTTCACCAGACTACCATGATAACACAAAAAAAGGTTAAGAATCCCTGTTCTAGAATAACTGACACCGCAATTAAAAAAACATGTTCCTGAACAGAAAGACTGGAAGAAAATACCTTCCTCAAGGTAGAAGAGACATCCCTAATCTGCTGCACAGTCCCCATCTCCCACCCTGGCCCTCCACCCCTCCAAGCATTTCAGAGTTTCCATGCCTCGTGGAATCCATGCAATGGACAGTTCACTGGGATCACAATTGTGATGCCAATGAAGTCAAGCTCTAACAACCCAGAGACGTGAGGACTCAGAGACGGTCTAGTCCAACTCAACCCCTTCGCTGTATAGGATAGAAACGGAGGCCCAGAGAAACAAAGTGATTTGCACAAGGTCATGTAAGGTGTAAAGGGACAGAGGTGAGTCACCTGCGGGCAAACCCAGTGTTGTTTCTGCTGACCCATGCTGCCTCTCCTACCAAGGCGGGAAGGCTCTGGGAAATTCTGCCTCCAAAGAAATGACAGAGCTGGGAGACAACAGTGTGGAATTAAGCACGTGCCTGCAACACATTTAACTGGTGGTCTTTATCACATGAGGGGATGCAAGGGTGAGGACCTGTGCTGGTAAATGACAATGAAGTTACAAAGAAGAAAGGCTTTGTATACCACTCAGCAATGGACTATGTGCCTGCTACCCAGGAAATGGCTCATGCCCTAAGGGAACAAAAAGGAAAAGCTATGATCTGGGAAAAGTCACAACTTTCTCCAAGTATCAAAGTTAGTGTCCATTTCGAGGTAGGCCACAAACCTGACCTGATATGGTGGCCTGGTTATTAATGTGTGACCTCCAAACTGTCCCTCTCCTCTCTCTGGGGTTGGCTTTTCCAGCAAGGGCATACTGGAACATCGGAAGCTGGGGAAGATGGCAGTGTATTTTGATGGAAAGGGGAGCTGTTCTGCTTTGTCTTTCCTATGTCTGAGGCGATCTGTGACAACAAAGTCTGCCTCAGCTTCGTGAACACCGAAGGAGATAAGCCCCAAATCCCAGGGAGGGTTGCTCCCTCCTGCACTGGGAGGTGCCCTGACAGCTGAAGAGCCTGCTGGGAGGACTGCAACACTCTTGATTCCAAAGTGAACCCTTGTACACGAAGGAAACAGCTTTCTGCCTTCATAAAGTGGGCTTTTGAGGTTAATGCATCACAGTGCTCCAGGCAGAAACAACTTTAAACCTGAATCTGTTTAAACTGGGGCACAGAGAGAGAGGCCTGCAGTCTTTTATTTCCATTCTGTAACCTCTGTTGCCAAAGCAACATAACAGTGACACCTCTGGCCCCTTCTCCCCAGAATAATAGACGTTAACCTGTCAGCTGGGCCTGTGTGGCGGCAGAGATAAAATACCAAGTCTCTCCTTGGACAAAAGACAGCCATGTGATCTGTATATTTTTACAGAGTTGCTGAAACGGGCTCCATGTATTTTTTCCACCAAGAAAAACTATACTATATCATTGATCACTAAAAGTAAGGATTGCATTGAGAAGGTATCCCCTGACTTATTCTGGGGCTCTATAAGGGAGAGGGAGCTGTGCCAAGGGGGCTTCTCTATTCTTCCCTGCTCCCCCTCTGAATGCTCTCATCACCACTGGGCAAATGCACCACCAACTGACATGAAAGGAAACATGATCCTTTTAAAAGACAAAACCCCAAATAGCCCATCCAACCCTTTCCATAAGCAGTGGCTTGTGGGTCTGCTTCCTCTGATGCGGCAGCACTCAAAGAAGCGAGCAGAGAAGGAGCTTGTCAAGCCACTAGTGCTCACTTTCATGACTGCAGGATAACACAGATGTTATAACAGGATAACGAGGATGAGATTGCTATCAGGTGAAGAGGTAGCCCTTACCTGAAATTATTTTAGGACCTGGCCCAAGTAGTTGTGAAGCATCAGAAATGAGAACACATTATTCTTGGGAGGTGCCTGTTCCTTTCCACTGGAAAGACTAGGAACACAGTGAGGGGAGCAAATGCCAGAGTGAATCTGTGTGGTTTACAGGACTATAAATAATTGGATGAAGAAACTGCTCCCCAGAAATCACTGCCTGGAAGAACAGCATCCTCCCACTCACCTTAAAATAAGGGCTGGCTAAAAGATCACAGGCCAGGGAACTTTTGTTTTCCCTTGACCTCTCTTTGCGAATTCCCAGAAGCCAAGAGGCCCCAATGGAGGCCTGTCGCCAGCAGCCTAGTGCCACAGCTCCAGCTGGAGCAGTCTGTGGCCAGCTCCTGGACTGCTGGGGAGAGCAAACTGCTGCCTCTTTCAGAAAGAGAGACTTGGAGAGTTGGCTGTTTTAAAGTGGCTCAAGAGATGCCAGCCTATTTGGAGCAAGGGAGAGCTTCATGCCCACAGAGGATTAAAAGTGCTATCTTGGAATTTCAGGCCAGCTTTCAGCAATCTCAACCCTTCAAAGGCCAGACAGCAGCTGTCCTGAATGGGAAGCCAATCAACTGCTCCAGTAGCTACAAAGAGCTAGAGCTGAGCAGGAAGAAGCTGTTTCAGCTCTATGTACTCTAAAAAGAGCCTGAGCCAGGGCTTCTCCAGGGCCTTCGTGCTTGGGAGGAGGTACTGACTGCAGCCTGGAAAGAGCCAAAAATATGAAGAGGGAATGACATGAGGCCTAAGAAATAGTCTGCTAGCCCCAGCAAGACCAAGGAGGAACATGGGAACAGAATCCCTCACATACCTCACTGTAAAAGGAAGCATTTATTATATAAAGGGGTGAAAAAATTCTAACAAAGCAGAATCTGTTTGTGGCTTAATTTGCTCAGGATGGGAAAGCTGGACTGACCCCTTCCTACAAGTTTTCCACCTATTTTAGTTGTCCCCAAGGAGTGGGGCCACAGAAGCCCGTGCCCATGCCCCCTGAGGCAGCACTGCTTCCCACCCTACTTGTGGCCAGGATGCCTGTGGCAGCCTGCCGCTGTAAACATCCGACTGAAAGCTCCTCCAAGCACCTTACAGCTTCCAGTCAAGGATGTTTACAGCGGCAACGACTGCCCAGAGAGAGCTGGGACACAGCAGTGCCGCTCTTGGAGGGTAACAGAGCCCCTTCGGTTCCAATCGCATGGTGCATCGGAGCCAGAAGGGTTCTGCACTCCACCTCCCCCAACCTGGGCCTTCCCAGGACCTGCTACTCTCACTGACCGAGACAGACGGGCAGAGTGTGCAGATTCAGTGTGACTGCGGCTAGAAATCATTGACCACCATGTCACTCATTACAAACGGTTAACATCTTACATTAAAAAATATAGGAAGAACCAAGACTTAGATCCACAGCCGAGGGGCCCTGGAGTTTGCCTGACTCAAGCCATCTCCTTTCACAGATGAGAAGAATGAGTCTTCAAGAGGAAGGGGAAGAAAACTGCCCCAAGGTCACAGACCAAGTGAAGTGTTGGTGACAAGCCTAGAAGCAAGCCTAAGGTCCTCTTTACACCAGGTTTCTTTCCACTATCCATCATAGATTTAGAGCCTAAAGGGATCTTAGAGGTCAACCACTCTAACCTCCTCATTTCACTGAGGGAGGAATTGAGGCCAGAGAGAGTAACTGATTTACCCAAAATCACAGAGGTAATAAGCAGCAGAGACAGGATTTGAACCCATGTCCTAAGACTACAAATCTACCACTTTCCATCGCACCATGCTGTCTCCCACTGTCTTTCTGTACATTTCAACCTAAGTCCCCAAAACCAAAGGGAAGAGAATATCCTTCCAATTATGTTGAAGAACGATTTGCAGGTGATGCATGATGCTTGTTCTTTGGGTAAAAGGCAGTGAGGGGCAGAGGAAGGGGTGGAGAGTGAAAGCAGGCCTTGATATTGTTTAGGGAACTAGCTCTTCTAGGGCAAAAAACTAGATCCTTCTGTTTGCCACAAACACCAGTGCCCGCAGCACTTGAGAAGGGCAGGTCAATAAACAAACCTTACACTTTGGTGTAATCTTTGGAGCATGTTCCCTCATCTCAAGGCCACAGTGTGGCAAAGCTGTCCCCAGCCACGACAGAGAGACTAGGAAGGAGCCCACACGGAGTCGGGAGGCCTGGGTCTGGGGCCAGGCTCTAGCATTCAATGGAGAGGTGACTTCTGCCCTCCATCCGGGCTTGACTAGATCCCCAAGGTTCTTGGCAGCTCTAACAGCCTCTGTATCTGTCACCGAGGAGAAGGAGCACGGTCCTGGACGTGGTGTTGAGTTTGGAAACCCTCAGAACAGTCTGACACTTGCTAATTGTGTGACCCTAGGCAAGTCACTTAAATTCTCTGGGTCTTAGCTCCCTTATCTATAAAAAGAGGATAATAATACTTGCAACACTATCTTCTCACAAGGAAAACATTTGTAAACCCTAGAGCACTATGGAAATGTGAGTTGTTGTAAGACATATGACTCTGGGCAAGTCACTTCATCTCTCTCTGAGCCTCAATTTTCTCATCTGTCAAATGGGGATCATCATATTACTTGTCATACTTACCTTCTAGAGTTGTTGTGAAAAAAAGTGCTTTGCAAATTATAAAATATCAAGCTAGCTGTTATAATGAGCTAGTGCTAGAAGCATTCTATTTGCAAAATACCCTCCCATCACCACCCCAGAGTCTTCTTTGGGATTTCCCTTATTCCTCCCCTCCCCTCCCACTCTGTCCTGCAGAGTTACACCCCAGGCCCTGAACAAAGTAAGAACAGGCAGAAACTTCCAGGGTGATTTTAGTTTAGGAAAAGAGAAGCAAAAATACAATTAGCTACATTGGTCTTGGAAGGAAATAAGTTTACTTGGTAAGAACATTCAAAATGCTTTGGACTCCCTCCTTCCCCCAGCAAATGAAGACATGATTCTATTCCAGCTCACCTGACGCTTGGGAGGTTTCAGTTCATCTCTTGGAACAATATCGATGAGAAAGTCGAACTGGTCAAATTTTGTAATCGCCATAGCGATGTCATTTCTCTGCAACAGGGGAGAGGAAAGGAAGAGAGGGAAAGGAAAAAGAATGAAACATGGGCCTAAGAACTTGCCTCATATACCCAGAGCCAGAATTCCAGGAGAACAGGTGACTGGTGAAGGCACAATCCCAGGTTATGGTTTAATGATTTTTCATAGGTGCACCCATGCTTTTTATGCTATTCTACTCTCCCTAACCTGTGAAGACTCAAAGCCTCAAGTAATCAGTCACATATGGTGGTGAGGTGGGAACAGAATTGTATGGTGCGCACGATTTCCAAACCATTTCCAAAGACTACATCTCTACAGATCGAAAACATTTTCATCAGGCAGATACCTTGCAGACAGGCAGTCCCTCAAATGGGTCATATAAGTTGGCATGTTTTTCCAGGAACTAAATAAAGAACGGCACATCTTGGAATACAAATGCATGAAAACCCTTCTACCAGAGCTACAATCCTGTGGGAGGCACAGGGCAAGGGTTCAGTCCTCTCTGGAGTCTAAATAAGTCAAAGCTTCCAGGACCAGTGACTTCATAGGCAGAGAACTCCTTCCATCAATGCAGATGCCAACTTACCTATCTATAACTCACATTCTCAGAGTACAGCCTGAGGCTCAGAAAGGTCACAGTGACTTGTTCAGGTTCAAAAGCTAATAAATGCCCCAGGCAGAACCTGAGCTCAGATCCTCCCTGGCTCGAAGTCCAGCACGCTAACCACTACACACTCTGCCCCTGTTTTCTATATACTATTCCTTAAAGCAAGGCGACAATTTCAGCCAATCTGCACAAAAACTCTTTAAACTTGCAGTGTACATTTTTGGTGAGTGCAATACCTAAGCCTGAGGCTGCTATGAGTGTCAGCAATAGATGCTGAATGTGGGACTCAGGGGGTCATCAAATTGGAAGGTATATTAAATCTCTGTCTGGCTGGAGACACCATTTTCTGGGTATCCTTATTAAAAAGCAAAACAAAATCCCAAACCTCATCTGACCCCAAGCTCGGCACTATAATGGTGCAGTGACTCTTCTAACTAGATGGGAGGGAATGGAAAATTTCTGGGTTTTTTTTTTCCCTTCCCTTGACTGTGATGGCCCCAAGCCACTGAAATGCAAAACTCCAGTCCAACAGTGAGTTTGATAAGATAGGACTTTGCTAAAACATGGGCTACAAACGCTCCAAACCCAAAGCAGGGCACATCAGACAGTGTTTGCCAGGGTTCAGTAAGATGAAGGTGCTATGTCACATCCTTAGTGGCACCAACTCCCTAAATATAATTTGTGGAGGGAAAAGGAAAAAGGGGGAGGAGGCAGAGAAGAGGCACCACTTCTACACACAGAACAAAATGTTCTAGACCAGTTGGGAAATGAAGGTATTCTTGAATTAGCCTAACGGTGGCTTAAATTAGGATGCCCACATCTAGACCATAGCATTATAAAAAGCAGCACTAAGTACTGGTGTTGACTGCTAGTTCCTGGGGGTAAGGGGAAATAAGTCTTCACCCTTACTGAAAAGGATAGTAGAATTTCCACCAAAGGAGGTCAGAGCTCCAACCAGAATCAGGGAATTAGAAAGGAATATTAGCATTTGAACTGACATCTTTCCTACCACACCTCTAATAACGAGTATTCATCAAGCCTTCCTGTGAAGACTCACCTTACAAGGCAGCCAATTAATTCTTAACTGTTAGGAAGCTTTTCTTTACAACAATCAAGAATCTATCCTGCTGCAAATTCTGTCCATTACTTTAGTTGTGCCTTCTGAGGCCCATCTCTTCCTCATGGTAAGCCTTCAAATACTTAGTTCTAGTTCCCCCAATCCTCCTTCCTCTGAGCTACAAGAAATCATCATATGATGAAGTTTCCAGTGCCCTCCTTCCTCTGGATCTGCCCCAGACTGTCAACACTCTAAAGCGTGGTGCCTAGAACAGAGGTAGACCAGGGTGGAGACCAGCAGGACTCTTATTCCTCTTGTTCTGGATACTATGCCCTTTTTTTAAGTGCAGCCTAAGACCATTAGTTTTTCTGGCTCTGCAAACCTTAAAGTGCTATATAAATGTGAATTATGCTTGGTAGTATTGGCTGCCATGTTATGCTATTCAATCACATGGACCTAACAGCTCACCAAAATGCTGACTCCCCAGGATTTGATAAAAATTCCTATTATCTTACGAGCCCTGATTTGGCCTGAAGGGCAAAAAGGGTAAGGTGCTGCAGTCACTACACGGTGGCAAGTATGGGAAGAGGGAAAATTAACATTCTTCCAAGAGAACTGACAGCACTACACTGTTCTCCCTGGGAAGAAGAAGGCAACAGACTGATTTGAAGGAGAAGAGGTAATGTCCTGCCTCTGGACTAAAACCACACAGGCTAAGCAGACTAGAGGAAGGAAGACATCCGATTTCTCCTGGCCTGGAGCAGCTGCTGCCAATTACCTGGAGAGTCCGGCGTTTATTGTCTTCTGTGTGGATCCAGGCCCGTAATGTCAACTCAGTGATGAATATCTGGGCAGCCTTGGCAAAAAGCACAGGGGCTTCAGCACTTATCATCTGGAAGAGAAATCAGGGCTCTCTTCAGGTCTCATAGCCAGGACCACTAATGCTCCATTTACCTCCTCTCCTGCCCCTAGGGAAGAAATTTAGGGACTAGAGGAGGGGGAGTAGAACCAGACAGAGGTGACTGGGAAGCAAACAGTGGAGGGATGAATGTGAGAAGATGACAATGCTGTCCTTTAATAAAAGGGTTACAGAGGAGGCACGAGTCAGAAGAACTGGGTTAGAGTTTTGGTTCAGCTCCTCATCAATCAGTCACACTTCGTCTTTCTGTGTCCCTTTCCCCCTCTGTAAGAGGAAGACGAAGTCTCTCTCTTACCAATCTCATAAGGAAGCTATGAGGAAATGAGATAAAATGTGGAAAATGTGATGACAATAAAAGTATTAATAGCAGTACTTTCTGCGATAGCAAAAAAAAAAAAAAGAAAACAAGAGAATCTCTTAGAAACCACAACCTAAAAGCAATGCCATTTTAAAGAGGGGTCAGGACTGTGATCTTCCTAGACAAATAGTGAGAATTAATATGCTGTCACTACTATAAAGCTTCTAGAGCTCACAGGATACGAAATCCAGGACAGACCAAACCAAAATAGTACAAAAATGTTTATCTAGCAGTGTGACCTAGGGCAAATCAATTTCTCTAACCCTTAAGTATTCATGAAAGGATGAAGGGATTCCAGCCCTGACACTTACAGATCTATGAAAAAATTACATTAAAAAAATGAAATGAAACAAAGCAGGTGTCCATTTATTAGGGACTAGCTGAGCAAAATTGTAGTCTATGAATGTAATGTATTACTACTGGACTATAGGAAATAATGGATAAAGGAATTTAGAGAAATTTGGGAAGACTTATATGAACTCATACAGAATGAAAAAGCAGAATCAAGATATCAGTGTCACAGTGTCTACAACATTGCAAATAAAAAACAACTCGAATTAAACACAATGATAGATCTTGGTCCTAGAGGACAGAGGATGAAACATACACACATCCTTCTGGGTAGGGCAGCAGAGGGCAACAGGTATGGAATGTTACATAGCCTGCCAGATATGGGACCACAGTCAGTCAATTTTACTCAACTGTTTTCTTTTTCTGTTACAAAAGATAAGGTGGTATATTGGGAAATGCCTGTATCATAAAAAAAAAAAACAAAAATACAATAATGAAGGGCAGCAATAAAACTTTATAAACTATTAATTGTAAAAAAAAATGGGATGAAATACCTAATAATATTCCTAAGATTTATTCTAAGATTTACTACTATTGCTGCTACTGGGGAAAGAGGCTGCTGTCTAAGACAGGGTAACAAAGCTGTAGTGTGTGAGATGAAAGGAGACCATAGAGATCATTTACTCCAACCCCTTCATTTTACAGATGAGGAAACTGATGTCCAGAGATGGGTAAAAACATACTTGAGGTCACACAGCTGATAAGAGGGAGAGCCAGGCCTGCTGAGCCTGGTTCTCACCTCAGACGCAGTGCTCTTCCCACTACCTCCCTCCACCTCTGAAGGGAGGAGGCCTTTAGGGTCAGGAAGGAGTCCTGAGAAGGCTACCTTCAGCTGCACCCAACTGCAGTGCATCTATTCCACAGACCAGAAGACCCTATAAAGAGCTTGTAATGCTCAATAATTGGTCATTCGCAAGCCCAAACCCTTGAAGATGATAAATGGGTGATCAAACATTTGATACCCTGGGTGGTCACACTCCCTTGGCTTGACAGGAAATATTAAGATTCCGAATTGTGAGGGTCTCAGTGATCTCACCAAGCTTCAAATGTAAGTAATTCATCATCATCTTTTTAAGTGCACTTGGATAGGCCAGACTAGCCCTAGGCTAAAAACCATTCCAATTCAGGGCATATTACATTTCCATTTGTGAACCAGCCACCATACTAAGGGCAAGAAGAGACCTTACAAGTCATCTCAGCCAATCCTCTCATTAGGTTTAGGATGAGGTTAAAGAACCTAAGAGAAGAGCCAGGATAAGCCAGAGCCAAACTCATGTTCTCTTAACTCCAAATGCAAACTGTGCTGAAAAAAATGTATCTGTGGCTGTTATTAATTAAACCTTATACTCTGGAGAAAGAAACAATTCATCCACCATGAGAAATGTTCATGACCGTAATTGTTAGCTTCACACCGACAAAATAAGTGATACAAATTTACCTTTACATCTTCATCTAGTTTCATGATCTTCTTAATACGAGCTAGTGGAAGCTCCTGCACACGGAAATCTTTCTGAAACAAGCAATCAGAGAAACATATATATACTTACTATTATCAAAACTATGGACGTGTGAAAGCATCAGAAACATGTTCAAATTACTGGGGGGAGGAGAGATGGACTGTAGAGAAAAGGAATTAGAATAAAAAGAAATGACAAGTTAATCTTTGGGACTCTATCCTGACCCCTCATTCCTAAAGCCTTAGAAATACATTTACATTTCATATATAGCATGACAAACTTTCGTCAGTCTCCTAATGAAAGTATTCAGTTGTCTACGTGTGGAAGTGGTGAGTTTTCTTCCCCTGTGCCCATCCAAGGGATGCAGTTTTCTGCATTCTTCCCCTCAAGACTCCCAGCTTTCAAAGACAGCTTACTTAACAGATGGAAGTATCCATGGTGCCACACTACCCCCTCTTTACAGTCACGAGCTTTGGGACAAGTGGGATGGCATGGTTCCTGTGCTGATGCCCATCTGCAATAGCCTGGTGGCTGTTTGGCCAGGTTCTATAGGAGCTCCTGCTAACTTCTGCTTCATCCATCCCAAAACAAGCAGCACAACAATCTTAATAGAAGCTCTTGCTTCTATAGCTTCCTTGCTGAGGGGCAGGTCCACCTGCCCATTAGGAGGCTCTGCCACTTCACCTTCAGTTTAAACATGCCACCTGACACACAACACTAGTTTTGGCTTCTAGGCCAGGACATACCTGAATCCAAACACACGTTAAGTACCTTATTCAGTAGGTGCACAGGCTATATAACCAGTCTATCTGAAGTGTTCTTTAAGCACTGAAGTGTGGACTAACCCCAATCCCACAAGGCCTGCTTTGACCCCTCATCAAGGTGTGAAGGTGAGTCAAGGTTCTTGGAGGCCCTGCCAAGAGAGCAACAGCTCTGGCAGGGCTTCCACCAACGTCAGAAAAACTTCAGGAATGCACCTAGCAATGGACCTTGGGTCTGGGAGTAGGAGGAACCTTAATGACAAAGAGGGGATCATTCAGGGATGAGTTGGGGATGAGGGGGAGAAACTATAGCAACTCATAGAACTATGCCCCCTAAAGCAAAGCATGGGGGAGGTACTGATGTAATAAATGACAGGCCAATGGAGTAAGGAAGGACAATGTATAGAACCATGTGTGTTAACCACTGGGAGAGAGATGAAGAATGAGTAAGGCACACTGTGCTTTATCAAAAGGGCTCAGAGGGATGCTTGTATGTGCCTGTGTGTATGAGCATGAGTCTGAATGGACATGTGGGTGCCCACATTCTTGTGAGCAGGCCTTTTCCGACTAGCATCATTCAAATATTTAAAGTTATAGCATTTAAAAAAAATACGGACATCTGCACACATGCCTGATGACGGATACAATTCTAGAAATAAGAAAATCAATTGCAAATTTTAGAGCAGCAAGGCTATAGATTAGTGACTATCAGCAGAATCTCCACAGAGGCTAGGTGTCAAATGATTGGATCTATAAGTGGCTAAAAACGTGACTCATTAAAGCTTGGGGATTCTTTCACAAGCCCATAAGGGCCGTACCAATGCTGAAAATGCAGCATAATTAACCAGAACAGGTGGAGTATATTTTCAAGCCCCCTAAAAAACGGAACTCGGTCAAAGAAAGACATCGAGACCTTGTTATCCAATTTCATCAGTTTGACCCCAAAAGAAAGAGTATCTAATAGCACAATACCAGAAGCCCTGACATCTGACTTCTCTACATCCTGTGTATAACTCTGGGACTGGCATGATGTCTGGGTGACCATCCGGCTGACCAAATGTAAACAGCAACTCCTCCTCTTTTCTGTTTTGAACTTAGTCATTAACATTTTCTATGAAGACTTCTCTAAATGGCCCTCAAAGTTTGTCAGACACATTCAAGTCTGGTTTTTGACAATCTGGCAAGGGAGATGGGAGAGAAGGGAACAAGTGTCTATATTAGAAATAAAGTGTAATTGTTCTTTCCACTTTTGTGGCATTTCCTGCTAATGCAGCGAAGTAATTCCACAAAAAAACTGGAACCACACATGAGTATGGATACAAGTGCCGCTCTAGAAAGGTTATTTCTTTTACCTCAGTTGCTGTGGTCAAACTTCCACAAAAAAGCTTTTCAAAGACTTCTTAAACCCTAAAGCATAGTCCTAGAAAGAACCTTGGATTTGGAACCAAAGGACTTGAATCTGAACCTTGGCCCTGCCACTTGCTCCCTCCTATAGGAATCAATTCATCATCTGTAAAATTGAGGGGTAGGGGTGGAGTGGGGAATGGGGTTGGACTAGGTGATCTCTAAGCTCATTTCCAGCTCTAAAAACTATAATGCTGCAATGTTTTAAATCTAGTTACTAATAGCAAGCCAAATCTAATTAATAATTATAAAGCATCATTTTATGGTAGTGTTATTTTTCCACTGAACTCAATGTACTTCAGAGATAATGAATTTCCTGAATTAGGGAGCGGAACATTGGGGGGGGGGGTGCCGCATTTATAGATGAAACAGTTACTATTAACCCCATTTTATATATGGGCAAATTGAAGGGAAAAGGCAGAAGGGTTTTACTCTAAGTTAGGTAATCCTCAACTCTAAAAAAAAAAAGTTATTTTATCCTTTCCCCAAATCTGGAGATCACTAAGTTATTCCTGAGTCCTTGCAGTGATTGGGAAGAGGTTATGTTCTTGTCTGGGGTAGAGAAGAGGGCAATGCTGATGGATATACTCTTTTCCTTCCTCAAATAAGCAACTGTTCTGGATATCTCAGAGGCCTGTCGCTAAGAAAACCATAGAGAAGCCATCTAGTCCCATATTAGTGGAAAATGGCTGACAAATGGGAAAGGGTTTACCCAAAGTCACACAGTTAGTTAAGTAGCACAGGGAAGAAGAGTGCTGGGCTTGGAGTCCAGAACCCTTGGTTTGAATCCCCCCTGTGGGACCTGGCAGTCATATGACACAGGTCAGTCATTTACATCCCTGAACTTGTTTGCCCATTTATAAAATGAGATGATACTGGACTAGTTACTTCACAAGGATGCAGTAAAGGTCATCGAAAATCTCAAAATGCTGCATAAATATCAGTTATTATCAATGAGAGAATTAGGAATAAAACATAGGTTTCTGAACTTCTGGCCCTTTGCCACACTGGCTAACTCTCTTCAAGATTAAATAGCAGATAAAACAATAAAACTGGATGTTACAATATAAAAAGGAAACTTGGCCTCAAAGAAGAGCTATGATAACTTCCCCCCATTTGCAAACAGGAGCTCAGTCTGCAAATGTGGTATACTGCATGATGCCAATTTTTTTTCAATGTGATGAATGTCTGTTGAATTAAAAAAAAATTCTATGTTATAAGGGATGGATCTCTGGGAAAGGGAAGTATAGGAGAAACCTAGATGACAGAAAACAAACTATCAATAAAATCTATTGTTAAAAAAGATATGATGGTACATAGTATCACCCCTGGACTCAGGAGGACCCGAGTTCAAATGTGAGCTCAGACACTTGACACTACTAGCTGTGTGACCCTGGGCAAATTCACTTAATCCCATTGCCTAGCCCTCCCTGCCTCCTTTAAAAAAAAAAAAAGGTATGATGGTACATAATTATGGTCCTGGAGACCAAATAAAACACACTTCCTGCCCCTTGGCAAAAAGTTAGAAGACTAAAGCATGGGCTGCTGTTCACACTGTCAGACTCTGCTACTGGTACATTCTGTTGGTTGCTTTTGCTTAACTGATTATTTTAAGGTTCACATATCCAGAGCTTAGAAGGGACCTCAAAGGTCATCTAGCCCAGGTGAGAAAACTGACTCCCAGGGATGTTAAACAACTTGCCCAAAGTCATCTCAACAGAACCAGGATTCAAACCCAAGTCCTCAGATGCTAAATCCTGCACTCAACAGAAAGAGAAATTCCATTTAAAATAAATGGAGACAATATAAAATATTTGGGAGTGTACCTTCCCAAACAAACCCAAGAAGTATATGAACACAATTACAAAACACTTCTTCACAGAAATAAAGTCAGATTTAAACAACTTGAAATATATCAATTGCTCATGGGCAGGCTGAGGCAATGACAATTCTACCTAAATTATTTATTCAGCACCACACCAGAGTACCAAAAAATTATTTTATAGAGCTAGAAAAAATAACAAAATTCATCTGAAAGAACAAAAGGTCAAGAATATCAAGCGAATCAAAGGAAAATGTGAAAGAAGGTGGCTTAGCAGTACTAGATCTCAAACTGTATTATAAAGCAGTAATCATTAAAACAATCCAGTAAGAAATAAGAGTGGTGGATCAGTGGAACAGATTAGGTACATAAGACATAGTAGTCAATAATCATAGTAATCCAGTGTTTGATAAGCTCAAAGATCCAAGCTTTTGGGACAGAAACTCATTATTTAACAACTGCTAGGAAAACTGGAAAACAGTATGGCAGAAACTAGGTACAGACCAACACCTCACACTGTAAAAACCACAATAAGGCCAAAATAGGTACAAGATTCACACATAAAGGGTGATAGATACCATAAGCAAATTAGGAAAGCATGGAATAATTTACCTGTCACATCATGGATAAGGGAAGAATTTAGGACCAAACAAGATATAGAGAACATTACAAAATGGTAGATGGATAATTTTTTATTATATTAAATTTAAAAGGTTTTGAACAAACAAAACCAATGCAATTAAAATTAGAAGTAAAAGAAGAAAACCGGAGGAAAGTTTTTACAGCAAGTAACTCTCATAAAGGCCTCATTTCTCAAATACATAAAGAACTGAGTCAAATTTATAATACAAGTCATATGAACTATGTAGCTGTCAGAAGAAATCAAAGCTATCTGTAGTCATATAAAAAAAATGCTCTCATTATTGATGAGAGAAGTGCAAATTAAAACAACTCTGACATACCAGCTCACACCTTTCACAGTGGCTAATATGACAAAAAAGGAAAATGTTGGATGTTGGAGGGGATATGGAAAAAATCAGGTCATTAATGCACTGCCGGTGAAGTA